ATCGGAATTCAAAAAGTAAGGACGTTTTATTTGGGAGTTAGCCTTTTTCTAATCGCTTTGAGTATGAAAGAAATAGCCTCCTTTGTAGTTGATGGCTATCCAGGGGTCTTGGCTATTTTAACTGTTTTGTGCGGGTTTGGAGAGTAAGGATAATTTGGTAGACCATTAATCAAACCTTATGTGTAACTCAACTCGTTTTATCCATTATCTTTCTTTTATTAATATATATATATATATACACATACATACATATATATATATATATTGCCCTATCGGTAACCTCATTAATTTAGAACCAGTAAACTGTCATGACTCATGAGAAACACCACATATAGTATCAAGTTATTGTTATGGAGCAAAAAATAACCCCAAAAATTCAAAGGACGACGCGTGGACTTTTTCTCTACAAAGACATGAATGCCCTCATTAAATGGGTAATGCATACAAATATTCCTACGCGCAGCTCAACATCCTGAAGGTCCAAGACTACTGCTCAAAACTCCCCTGCTCATGGCATGGAAAAGTCAAAGACATTAAAGATATGATTAATTACTAAATCTTATCTTTAATACATTCCCAATTGAAGACCAACTCCATCGAGTAAGGAATCCTTATCACAATCAACCATGAATGTTTCTATCATCATCTCAAGATATTATCTCCTAATTATTATCTTGAGAATATTCTTTCCTCATTCATTGACCAATAAGATGGCGTCACGGGTGGGGCAAAACCCTAACCCTATGACCAGCCTATCCTTGCTATAAATACCTCAATCTCCACTAAATTTTGGTAAGCTCTTTGCTATGTATACAACCCTAAACACTCACTCTTTTAAAAGTTATTGAATTAGGCATTGGAGATCCATTGGGCAAACCACCCACCTTGTTGGCTCATGAGGCTTTGGTCTATAATCAAAGGTGTTAATTATTTTGTAGGTACAAATTCGTCAAGATTAAAGACGGCATATTTTTACTATCACAATTGCGATCCACATATCGTATTAAAACGTTGAAATTTGAGCTAGTGTCGTTGTCCTTTTAATTAATTAAGATAATCCCATCACCAGAGTAACTTATAACTCAAGCAGTTAAGATGATTTATTTTGCACACAAAGTACTCAGTTGAATTCATTCCTCCTCGATATCGCCTTGTTATTTGTTGAGAAGTTGATATCGCTTGTATAAAGAAAAAGCTACTAGCTATATCTTATTTCACACAGTTTGTTCTTACTGAGTAAAGTGTTCCTACTTTATTTCCGAGTAATCCTTTAGCACCCATGGAATCTCTGCATCTAGATAATTAAAAGAATGTGTCCAATTCGGCTACCATTAGGCGGCGGCTTGTGAGTTATGGCTGTATCATCGTGCTTTGCTTAATCATCACTTACAAAAAGGCAGACACCATAAACAAAGATGATTGAAGGCAAAGGTGTGTTTTAATTAGTGCTATCCAAGAACAAGTTTATGCATTTGATTAAATTAAATAAGACAATTAAATATGGACTTGGTTCATTTTTGGTCAAAAAAGCAAACCCCCACCATTGAGATTGCGCATTCTGCTGTGCTAAAAGCCTAAAAGATAATTTGAGCAATGCGATGAACCTACGACAGAACAAATACGTGTATCCTATTCATTCCACAAGTCTACATCCAGGTTGCACCAACAAAGTGGGGATTCAGCGCATTAGCAGACCTGGACTTTTGCCTCTGCACTCGAATTTGAATTCACCTCTGCACCCATCATGATTCTCCTCTTGAAATCATCCGTAATAGGGATGTATACGGTCCATTGACGTAGTTTAATTCGCCTTGGCGCAAAGCACATAGGAAGCTAACCTTATCTCTGCCAGCAACTGGCCTTTTTATCTAATCTGTATTCGAATCGAAGAAAAAAGGTTTGAAGTTTCATTCTTCCATTCGAGTTTCTGCTACAAATTTCACTCTGGAAACTGCATATTTTTCCTTTGGCCGTTAATTCAAATATGTTACAAAGGAACGAATGGGCAGTTCAGAACATCCGAAATTACATTGTACACGCAACTTTTTCTTTCCTGCCTTCCTCTAAGAGATGGACAAAAGATTCAAACTAAACTAGTACTTCCTCTTCCTTATTTTGAAGCTCATCGATCGGATGACATTATCGTCGGCTTTGAGATTTGCTTCAAGAACTTCGAGAGAGTCGGGTTTTGTGAAGTAGGTAAAGAGGAGGTAGATACCATCCAGGTAAGTGTTAGACTCTCCGGCTTTGTTTTTCTTCTGGATGCCATACGCTAGAGGAATTACCCCTCTGTTGAAGACCTCCACATACATGCCACCCCCGGCTATTAGCAACTGCAAAAACATGGATCATCAGAATAAAACCTTGTAACCAACTACACTGTTTTATAACCTGAGCAGGAAACGTAATGCTGCTTAAAGTAAATTGCATGTGTCAAAATTCATCTTATTTCAAATAAGCTCTTACACGGTTATCACAGCCATGACGCAATCGTACATGTATAGCTATGTCTAAAAGCCTAGACCAGTCCAACACTAAGACACCACACTTAAGTCATCATGAGATCAACAGGAAGTCCACAGCCTAGTTCTCCGTATCTTCGTAGCTAAAAATAAGGCATAAAATGCATGACTAGAAATCAGAGGGGTAAAATAACGCATGACAAGATATAATCTGGCATTTCTTGATATTACGGGAATTACTGGGTGACAATCACAATATATCAGGTTTGCCCGTAGTACCCAACTTTCCCACCATTTAAAAAAATTAAGAAAACAAGGGCATAGCTCGTGTAGTATTGCACATTCTCATTGTGACTGATTGCTCACTGTACTAATTCATTGCACATCCAAACAAACACAGCATACAATTCAAATAACAACTATTACTTCTCCATCGAAAACAACCACGGTTAACAGACTAATACGTATATGATGATAATAAAAGATACAAGTTTACCACTATTCCCGAAAGGTTTAAGCTATTAGGATATGGTTATTTCCAAATTCTAATAACGCCTCCCATGTGTAGAAAGTCAAATTTGGGATCTCCTGCTTTGGTATCATGATAAACCAACAACTACTTCTATCTTGTAATCCATGACGTGAACTTATATCTTCGACTAGATTATAAAAGATGTCCGAAAGATCCAGAAGAACCATATGAGTACTTCTCAATATACACAATTGGGGACCTAAAGACAGTTTTTCAGAGGAAAGTTTCTCTTATGCATATTAAATCAGCAGATGTACTGCAAACTTACCTACATTATGAGGACTCAAAAATCATTAGATTAGTAGTATCTTCGACATATCGCTCTAATAGCGAAAAGCGTTTCGCACTGCAAATGCAAAGTAAACTTTTCAAAACTAAACATCTCTGAAGGTCCTAACTCACTAAGAAATAAATGCATCAAATACTATCCGCCAATTGCCATTATATTATATGTATCAATTCAACCAAAAATTCCAACTTTGTTCACTAATTTTTCTTATCTTTTCCTCAAATTTTCTCATCCGCCAAACAGATTACAAGCCAAAATTGAAACAAATGGATAAAACCCACTAATATTAAGAGCCAAAGAAATCAAATTTACTTCACCAAAATAAAAAGGCAACAGAATTTGGAAAAAAAAAAAAAAATGAAATTCCTTTTACCTCCTCGTACTTCTGGGTAAGAGTAAGTCTTTCATCCTCGGACATGTCGGGTCTGAGCACCGCCATGGTCTCGTACTGTCGGAGCCCCGGTGGGCACGGGGGCTCCTCCTTCTCCTCCACGGCGGTCAAGCCCGACCCGGGCGGGGAAGTCGGGTCGTCCTCCGACTGGAACCCGCCCTCGAAAAACGAGCCCGAGAACTCCAGGGACTGGACATTGGCGGTTAGGCGCGAACTGGGATTCGGTCCGGTTCGGTTAAAGCGAGGGAAGAAGACGGTTTGAGGTAGAGATGGGATTTGGGAAATTGTTTTGGGGCAAACGGGAAATTTGAAGAAGGGGTAAGAGATGAAATGAGGGAAGAAGTGGAAGCCATTGCTGGAACCTCTGTTTGGAACAGAAGAAAGCTTTTGGGTCAGTCCTAGGTGGATATTGATAAGGGACTAGAGGAGATGACAGTGGTGAATGAAACGACGGGTCGTGTATATGTTGCGTTTTACCGTAGGTCGTAATATAATTTGACGGGTTGACAATTCGGACATGTGGACCAAATATTACAATTGGTTAGCAATAAACTAGCATTAATTCGATTCAAATTTATGAGAAAGGAACTTAAAAATTTTCACTTACACATGAAGAAAAATACTATTACTTACTTACAAATAAAGAAAAATATTATTAAACCAGAATAATAAGTGGTGGTAATCCTCACACTCTTAGAGCAATTCCACCCATGGAGCCCTCCTTCCTGGCAATCCACTATTCAATCCACCATATTAAACAGTAACTGCCTTAAATGAATAGTAACTACCATTAATGAACAGTAATTGCCATTTACATCTCCACCCTTGGAACCCTCTCCCCTGGTAATAAGCAATTAAAATAATAGTTGTTTTTGTTTGTTTAAATAATAAAAAACCCCCCCCTCTCTCTCTCTCTCTCTCTCTCTGACACAAAAAAAATAAAAAATTGCAAAGCCCTCATGCCACAGGCCCGTCGACTCCCCACCCCCCCTTCGCTCAGGCTCCCACCGTCGCTCGGCCTCCACACGGCTGGACATCTCTCCACCGGGCCTCCGGCCCTTCTTCTCCACTGTCCCCCGAGCAACCCACATGGGTGGAGTTGCTCTTAACACAATTGGAATACGAATAATAATCATTCAGCTAATGTTTCATTAATGAAATCATAATTCTTGATTTTTTTTTTCTGATAAATACTATTAATTTATTGTTTAGCGGGTATATTCGAAAACGGCCCATTACCACCCCGGCACATGAAATCAAACCTGCAGGCCCAAGACCAGCCCATATTGAAGCCCAATAAAATTCTATTTTCTTCTTGTAAAGGAAGCAAAGAGCGAACATAAACTCAGAGAAGCAAAAAAGCAAAAGTAATCGGAGGAAGAAGAAGACGACGAGGCAAGCAACCGCAGGAACACGAGAGAGATGGATCCGAAGTTCACAGAGATCGCACAGCTCTTCGAGCGATTCAAAGCTGCATTCGTACGGAGCGATTTCGATACCTGCTCCAATTTCCTCTCCCAGCTCAAGGTAACTCACCAATCCTCAAAAACCCTAATTTTCAATCCCCAATTCGAGATTATCAGCTGCTTATTCACATGATTTAGTAATATTTTTATGTCGTTTCACTGCTTAGTGCTAAAGTATGATTCTTGTGTGTTAGTGCTGAAGTATGATTCTTGTGTGTTAGTGCTAAAGTATGATTCTTGTTTGTTGCCCCGATGTGATTAGGTTTTTGGGTCAGTAAGAGTAATGCGATTGTCGTTTTGATTTTCTTCCTTTGAAATATTTTATAATTAGATTTTGGGTATTGGTGAATTGAATTTACAAGATTTCGAGATTTCGAGTTGTCGCAAGTATTTGGTTGTTAAGCTGCTAGGGAGTGAAATGCCACTCAAAGACGTTAGTTCGGAGGATTTATTGACTGGTTTTTATGTGAAGATGTATGGAATTAAGTTGTTGTTGTATGTGGATTGAGTTGTATCGGTTGTGTTTCAGGTTAAGCTGACTGAATTAGGAAGCCTACCGCCGTTGTTTCAAGACACACCTAATGCTGTCAAGGAATTAACATTAGCTAGTAATGTTCTTCATCCAAATCTATTGCTTCTATTTTCCTGTTCGTGTAGTTCCAAACTAATTAGTGAATGCGCCAGAAACAAAAATTATGCTTTTATAGTTCATTTTGCTACCTACTTATGTGGCTACGAAAGAGTGTGCTAGTTTAACATTGTTCATTGGTGTAGTCACCTTCATTATCTTAACCCAACTACCTCCTCAATTTCATGTTTCAAAACTGTCAGGGGATATATATGAGCATGCTGTTGTTCTTAGTGTTAAGATTGAGGATCAAGATGCATTTGAAAGGGATTTCTTTCAGTTGAAGTCTTATTACGTAGATGCTCGGTAAGTTATCATCCCCTTAAGCTAACTATGAAGTTGCATTCTGTCTATGCGGTTATAGCTTTGTTTATCTTATACCAATTACTCGGTCTTTTTTTCTAAACAGAAATAAATGTTTGTTTAGAAAGATTGTTAATGAATTTTACTTTTCTTATGGAGTAGAGATCGTCTTCCACCATCCCCTCAAGAGTACCCAATTTTAGGTCTCAACCTGTTGAGACTCCTTGTCCAGAATAGAATTGCTGAGTTCCACACTGAACTGGAACTTCTTTCATCTGCTGCTTTGGAGAACCCTTGCATTAAGCATGCTGTGGAGCTAGAGCAATCTTTCATGGAGGGGGCTTACAACCGTGTGTTGAGCGCTCGTCAGACAGTACCACACGAGACTTATGTTTATTTCATGGATCTCCTGGCTAAAACAGTCAGGTAATTTGTTTTACTTAGTAATTATTATGTTTAAATAATTGCAAAAGTTCTTCAAACTTGTGACAAGAAATGCTAATATCTGGAAGTTGGGAATGTATTTTCTTTGGAATGTTCCATCATTGTCCGTGGCTCATAGGAATATGTGAATGATTTGAGCCCGTCATCTTCCTGTTATTGAACTTATTGTGTAGTTAGCTATTTAGATGATATGTTACAATGTACAATTAAAATGTCTTTGCGGATTTCTAGTTGGTTGATCTCTTCTGTCACTTTTAGGGATGAGTTAGCCGGATGCAGCGAGAAGGCGTATGATTTTCTCTCTATTAAGGATGCCCGTCAAATGTTGCTGTTTCCTTCTGACCGTGAACTTTTGGCATATGTCAGTGAGGTACGTCGCGTGTAACATGTTATTTTCCTTTTTCATAAAAAGTCCAAATTGACTGAACTTCTTAAGAATAATTGATCTTCTGTTTTTGAAATCACGTAAAATGCCTACCGCTATCTGGCAGAAAGTTAAAAATGCATATCCTTGCAAATCATGAGTGGGAAAGGCACCTGTTTGACATGTAACTTTCCAATGATTTAAATTGATCGAGCCCCTTATTCCCAAGTAAAAGACTGAATGGAAACCTTACCCAAGGCTTGGCCATGGGCTTCATGGGTAGACCTGGCATTTTGGACCCGACCCGTTAACCCGACCCGACCCGTTAATATTAGTATTTGGATGGATGCTTAACGGGTTGGGTCACTAACGGGTCAACCCGTTAACAACCCGTTAAATAATGGGTCACTTTGGGTCAACCCGTTAGCACCCTTTAGTTGAGGATGTTTTAGTAATTTCAATAAGGTCTTAACAACAAAATATAAACTCTATGCAAAAAATAATAATAATAATAATTGTTAACAGGTGAAACGGGTGACCCTTTAGCTTAACGAGTTGGGTTTGGGTGATCAGTTAGCTTAACAGGTTGGGTTTGGGTGACCCGTTAACTTAACGGGTCGGATTGAACCTGATCCAAACCCAATAAACCCGACCCGTTTACAAGTCTATTCATGGGCTTCAACTTCTGAGTATAAAATCAAAATATAAACTATATACACAGCATCAAGGCACTACTGCTTATGCTCCACCTGCTCTAGTAACACGATCATTTCCCCATATTACCGATTGGTTTTATGGTGGAACCTCAACTTTATGGTATTAGAGCCAGGTTGTCCCATGTGTGAAGTCAAATGACAACATGCGCTTCACGTCATCCCGTTGTGTTGTCCACGTGTTAGGCTTGAGAATTGGCCACACGTGAGGTGGCGTGTTGACAATGAATCCCACATCGATGGTAGGAGGGACCTTGCATGAGCTTATAAGTAAGTTGGGCTACTCCTCATATTGCCAATTAGTTTTATGTTTGGTTCTACAAATTTATAAGACTTTGTTCCGTGGATACAGGATCATCCTGAGTGGGAAGTGAAGAATGATGCGGTCTATTTCCAGAAGGCAAAGGAGTCTGCACCTTGCAAAGAGATACCTTCTTTACAACTCATCAACCAAACTCTCAGCTACGCAAGAGAGTTGGAGCGGATTGTCTAAAAGAGCTGCTACCGCATTCTGGTTGTTTGTTTTGTGATTCACAACTGTTGCTCAAACTGTCACTTCCAAAATTTCTTCTCAATTTTAGAACCGAGCCCAAAACTGTGTGTACTATTGTATTTTAGTTTGACCACTTTGGGTGGCAATATTTTTCAGATTTTATGTTCTTGCAATTTCATTAATCAGAAAGGTTGCTTTACCTTTAGAATGGTGCTATTGACACACTTTTTTACTTTCTATACACCTCTCATAATTTTTGGTTATCAAATCAAATGATAGAAATTAAGAGGAGGTGCATGAAAGATAAAAAGAGGCGAATAGCAACACCCTGCTTTTAATTACAAATCTGTCTGCTTGAGTTAAACGTCACTCAAAAAAATGTCTAGTATAATGCGTTGTGGGATGATTCTTAGGTGAGACTGCCCTGCTATCCGTACCCCGAAAGTTTCATATCTCACAGGCTAGTAATTGTACTTTTTATGCGTTTGAGTTTGAATCAATCTTTTTACCAAGATATCATCTATATCAAAAAGCCTAGCTAATGCAAATTAATGATTAATGGTGGTTTACAAGTGGCCATCAGTCCTATTTGTAATGTCAAATAAATCCAATTCCAACGTCTAATTGGAATCCCCAACTGCCATACAATAAAAATATCTTGTTGGCATTCCCTACCATATTTAGCCTTTCTACCAAATTAATTGCAATTTCTTGTCACTTAGTACTACGGTCTGATGGTATTTATTTTCACTTGTAAATGAGAGGTCTTAAGTTCAATTCTCGCCAGAGTGGCGAGTTTGAACAATATTATTGCTAGTTTATTGTAAGACTAAGCCTACTCTCTTTCTCTTACTTTAGTTAATATCGTTTGTTAAAAAAAAATTACAATTTCTTGACTTTAATTTTCCCCATGATCCATCACTTTCTATAAGTCAAGAAATTGGTATCATCATAAAGGGGGAGGGCAAAGTAGTTGGGTCGAAAGGTAAGACATGATAAAATTGAACCACTGGATTAAATGTGTGATGAACAAAAATTGCATCTTCTATTTACACTCACACTCAACTTTCTTCAGCCAAGCAAGCCATGCACTGTAATCATTCCACCCTTGATGTAAGTTGAGATCAGATTTAAGATTCACCCTATTCCCATCAATTTTGGGGTCCCACGTTTCACCTTAATCGAACCGCCATGCGGACGACAAGTGACTCGTTTTAATTGACTTATTAGGCTTTTCTTTGTCCTATTTTTCAAAGAATTCTTAAAGGAACCCGTTACGTGCAAATAAGTTTTCAATATAATTATCACACTGTTACGTAATGTTACCAATCTACTGATATTATAACATGTGGACATGTTTACCCTGTGTTCTTGATCAACTATATTATCCACTTGTATTAACAACACACTCTGCTGGTGTTACAAGTAATTTAACAACAAATAATTAGTAGCCTAGTTGTTGATATTTTGCTTTGAAAATTTAGTAGTAATTTGTCGATTTCCTAATAAAACCACAAACGGAAGTTTCTCACTCACTTTTTTCTTGAGTGGAATGTCGGCATCTTCTATTCTATATTCTGAGAGTTTCTTGTCAACAGAGACATACTTTTCCATGAAACAAAAACCAATTAGCTTTCTTTTGCTCTTCTCAATAATTGGATACTTATTCAGACTACTCAAGTTTTAGCAACAAGTGCGTTTTGGATTGCAGTTTCTGCGCAGTGAGCTTACTTTTCATCTGAATTTTCTGTCGCCAGAACAACTTGAATTTCATAGACTCATGGGGTTTTTTGGCTTTCAGCTATAATTATATCAGAAGTTATATAATATATATATATATATGTGTGTGTGTGTGTTGGGTTTTTTTTGCTTTCATCTGAATTTTCTGTTGCCAGAACAACTTTAATTTCATAGATTCATGGGATTTTTTTGCTTTCAGCTATAATTATATCAGAAGCTATATATATGTGTTGTAGGTGGAAAAAATGCAGATTGTGAATTCTTCCTCTTCAGTTGCTTCTCCTCCTCGACAGAAAGCTTCCCACCATGATGATGAACTCTTCATGCAGCAGAGAGTGCTCTTTTCAGAGAACCTCAATGTCTCTGTGTGCTTTTTTTTTCACCTATAAATTTGATCATTTTTCTTATTGATTTTAGAGTTGTTAAATGTTATGGCAATTTGCTCAGCAGGAACTGAAGAATCTGAGGAAACAGTTGTACTCAGCAGCTGAATATTTCGAAATATCTTACAGAAAAGAGGACCAACAACAATTGTGAGTTGAAGACTTGTTTTTCCCAGGGAAGTGATTTTTGCAATCCCCTTTTCTCCCCTGCACTCATTTATTTCTAGCGCTCGAATTGAATGAATCATAAACAAGGGGAGTGCAAAAGGAGAAAACGGAAGTGTGAAAATCACTGCCCTTTTTCTAACTAGCTCTTTCCTGTAGTGTACTTAGGTTTCGAATCTTTAATTGTTGTTTCGATATTTTCTTTTTTTTTCTTCGGGTAGAGTGGTGGAGACTTTGAAAGATTATGTGATGAAGGCAGTTATCAACACTGTGGATCACTTAGGTTCAATGGCATATAAGGTCAACGTATTTTTGGATGACAAAGTCGACGAAGTTTCAGAAACTGAGCTCAGGATGTCTTGCATTCAACAGGTATGGCATTTTACTCCTTAGGAGTTGGAACATTTTTCCTCTGTTTAACTTTGACAAATTCTAAGCATTTTTGTGGCAATCACAGCGACTGAGAACGTGTGAAGATTTCATCGGTCAAGGGGGCGTCTCCAAACATTCGCTAGCCATAAGCTTTCCGATGCACCATAGGCGATATACCTTGCCAGGCAAGTATCCTTTTATAGTTCTATGAAGTTTCTTTTTTTGTTTTGGTTGACTACTATTTGAAGTTTCCTTCGTATTACGCTGCATTCTTAATTTGAGAGTTACTATGTGTTCAGTTGGGGCAGCCATGGATGCTGTCGGCCAGTCTGCCTTGGCATATCGAAGCGCTGCCAAAGAGGATTTCTTTGAGGTTAAATCTGGTATTCATTCCATCCTTACATGTTGGTAGTTTTCTTTGTAGTTATTACGAGAAAGATAATAGAATTCGAGACTGCGGCCTCATTTCTTAGCTATCCGATTTGCTCGATTAACACCCGAAAAGGTTTAAATTACTGGGAAAAATCTGATAATTTGTTTGTGTGAATATTTTTCTGAAGCAACGAGGAATACTTCTCCAATTGTCAGGTACATCTTTTTAACGCTTTTTTTTCGTCTTTATTTTTTGATACAACGGATATTGGGAGAGAGGGGATTCAAACACAAAAACTCAGTGCATAGTGAATGCTCTTAATCGCGTGTGCTATATATTCTGATGCAGTGAAAAGTCTGCATTGCACTCTCCAGAATCTTCACCCGGAGCATTTCAGTTCCCAAGAATTGCATCCAAACATGGTTTGTGCAAAAGAAATTTTCTTCCATACAAACAAATTACAACTGAAAATAATACGTTGGCGAGCTTTTCGTTGATCTTGCTATGTTTATATGCAATTTATTTATTTTAATTCTATACATAAACTCAGAGAAAAGAACAGTCTCGCCACACCGGTCCACTTCCACGTTGTGGTTCTCATGTGAAGAGATCAAGCACTCTGAACTCTTCTAGCAGCAAACAGAGGGTAAGGCACTTTTGAACTGCAGAATGTCAAATACAATCCAACACATATGATGATATTAAGAATATAACGTTCAAATTATATTCGCAGTACTCGTCAGAGCCCCGGACCAGGAGATCAACGTCATTATCTCTTGATACCGAAAGAGCCAGGACAAGAGACACTGAGCAGCATTCGGGCAAAAATAAACGCTTCTATAAGGCCTTGCTTAGCTTCGGAAAGTCTAGGAAGGACACCATATTCTACAAATATTTGGATGAGAATTGAGAGCACATAACAGAAGAGAGGTAGAAGCTTGTCCGAATTTTTGTTTAGTCTTTCCCGCTTGTATTGCTCGTGCTACAAATTTGTATATCGTTCCAAGTAAAGTGTAAGAACTGCTCAGTTTTCGAGTTTTTTTTTGCATTTCCGCAAGAGAGCAACAGAGTGAATAAAATCTTCCAATTCACAATTTACAAGCACTGGCCATTCGGCAATTGATTAGAGAAGATCTAGGGCTTTCTGGTGTCACTCTCGGCTCTTGCATGAGGCGATTAGATAGCTAACTCAGTCAGTAAACAAGGATCCACTATAAGTTATCACCGGAGATGAAAGAACATTTCCCGGAAGTTATTTAAAATCCAAGATCAAAACTTGGGCATACTTCGATTTGCTCCAAAACAAGCTCCTCAAAACGAGTTCTTTTCTCATCAGCAGCATCATGAGAAGCACACAAACTCGGACGTGATTTCTCTGAAGCGTATGCTCTGTCACGCTTTTTAGTGCCTGAATAATGCTGCTTGAAACAATTACAAACACAATACATCGTATCAAAGCTACAAAAAGTTCTGATGGTTGCCAAAAGAGTGAAATGCATTGGAAAAACAAGAAATCATATAAATAAAAGATAGCAGTGCAACTTATGTTGTCTTCCTAAATTTCAAGAAATATAACCATGGCCACAAATTCTTCACCATGAAATGGGTTCAACTACATAAATCCTAACGGCACCTTGTTTACGCAAAGCAGTGCCAATAGTTCTAATTAATTCCTCCTCTATTTTGGTGGCTGATAAGAACTGCAGATAATTTAAATTGGAATAGCACCAGCAGAGAAAAAATGGCAATACATTATACATAGAAACTATGGGACAACCGTCACGCAAAGGCTTGTTTGTAGGGACGGCCCTCCCTGGTTTTGTTTCCTCAACACTAGAGATACTATGATTTGAGTTTGAAGCTTTCTTTGAACAATCTTTGTTGTCAAACTTTCCTTCACCCTCTGGCAAAAACAATGCAGGAGACATGATCAAGACCTCAGCAAGCATCAATGTGTAAACTACTACCGGAACAGCACCATATCTCCGGAACTTGGGTAAGGTCCACCGACCTCCACCAGATATTTTGGTAGCTCAAATATAAAACCTGGTCATTAGGGGTGGGGAAGATAGGATCAATGGAGGAAAAAACTTTAAGCAGTCACTTTCAGAGATGCAAAAGTTCAATTTAAAAGAAAAAAACCTTTCACTTACTAACCTTTTCCAGCAGCCT